CACAGATGTTGAAGCATTCTCTGGAGGACAACGAAGCCTTGCCAGAAGGGACCTGAGCTTAAGAAGACTAGCTGAGGCACAAACCCACCCTACATTTTACCAGGCATTTAGTTCCTGATCCTAAAATCATCCCCTGGGTAATTGCCCCACTGGAGGAAGTTGTCAGTAATTTGAGACATCTGATCTGGCAACTTAGGGAGCTAGGTGACAAAGATATTGTCAAAAAGCAGTGGTCACAGAAGAAAGTGACTTATACGATTCGACCTCTGTGAAAGACCAGTGTTTGCCAGTAAGCCTGAGCCAAAACCAATTTGTTTTTTTTTTTTACAGCAACCCCCACTTCAGATGCCAAGGTATGTGAGATCCACTGGGCGGGATTTCCTGTCCCACTGTTCTTGAAGACAAACAGAAGGGATCGTCTACATCATAGAGAAATCCAAGCTTCTCCCATGTTACATTTTAACAAAATTTGTCCTCTGAAAGAGAGACAAGGAATGCAGACTGGAAAGGAGTTTTATTATTATTGTTGTTATTTTTATTATTGTTGTTGTTTATTTAATAGTAACAAAAGGTACAATGTTGATTCTTAAGCTTTGGGCCACATGAAGGTGTGGCAAAGCTCTACTGAGTTATGGACTTCCTGGGCCTGATCTTTCACAAATTCGGCTTCAGTTCAGTGAGAGCACTGTGTCATTGCCAAGTGATGGCAGCATCTGTACCTTTAATAATGTCAGAGTCTCCTGTCCACGGGAGTCACATGTTCATGAATGCCACATTTTAGCAAACTTTAATGCCATACTTGGAAGTGACTGCTAAATTAGTTCTGTTATTTGTAAAACATCCCTCCATAAGATATTCTAAATGTCTCTCAAAAACCCAAGGAGAGACTATACATTTCAAATTAGTTTAGGACCCCTGGAAGACTGAAGTACTTTGAGAATCACTAAAATACAGGGTGGGTCTTAGCTGTGGTGAACAAGATGTCAGAAGACCATTAGTGATTATGATCTTTATGACGTGTGGGGAGCTCTGTTTGTTTCCTGATAAAGAGAAGAAATGCCTTCTCTTTTGGTAGGTTATAAGACAATGAGAGAGTAAGTATAGAGCATTCTGCAATCTACAAAGCACAAATGTAACTCTTAGAATTTTATTAGGTCTAGACTGAGGGAAGAGGAATTTTACTTGAAGGAGGAGAGATTTCAGTAAGGGCAGAGCTCAGGCTCAGGAGGAATTCTGGGAGCTGTTGCGGAGGGAGAAGGAATCTCACTTTTGGTGTTCTTTGATATGAGGAAGGTGCTCACTTCCTAGGGTTACAGTTGAAGATGGAATCCAGATCTCTCTATTCCTTGATCTTTCCTCCAAGTCAGTTATGATTTCCATTCCATTTTCTAGCCTTCCCTCTCAAATCAGAGTACAAGTCCTTACTGTAGCTTGTAAACTACCCTTTCCCGCATCATTATCGGCTTAATTTCTCTGTCTCTGTGTCTCTATTCCACACCACATAGTCTATGCATGCAAGTTAAATTCCTGTATACACAGGTGTGTGCATGCATGCGTGCGTGTGTGTGTGTGTGTGTGTGTGTGTGTGTGTGTGTGTGTGTGTGTGTAAGCCAGAGATAGAGGTCCTCTATCATTCTCTACTTTCTGAGCTAGGATCTTTCACGGAACCTGGAACTCATTGTTTAGGCAAGACTACCTGGCACATGAGTTCAGAGGTCCTCCTGTCTCTGCTTCCCCAGTAGTAGGACTGCAGATATGTGCCACCGCGCCAGGATTTTACATAGCTTCTGGCGTTCTGAACTCAAGTTCTCACATTTGCATGGTAAGCACTTTACCTACTGAGCCCTCTCTCCAGTCTCCCTTTCAAATTTGTTCCCTGGCACTCTTTCATTCAGCCATAGCCTCCTGACGATTCTTCACACACTCCAGAGAGCACCATGTCCCCTTTGTCCACTTTGCCATGTCAAATGCCACCTTTCCAACCAGACTCCTTCATTTAAAATTGCACACTGGTCCTTTCTACTTGTGCCTTTTATCCTGCTTCTTGGATCTTGGCTTGTTGTCACCTCCAGGACTATTTTACCTTGTGTCATTTACCTTTACAGAGTAAGACTTTTGATCTGCTCTGTTTGTGCTGACTCTTTGTACCTAAAATGGTGCTTGGCACAAGTGACAGTGACATACCCCCAGGCTATAGAGCTGGGCTCTGTTTTGTTGCTGCAGTTTTCTTTTTTTTCTTTTTTGCACACTTCCATTTTGTTTTCCTTTTTCTTTATACCACAACTGAGGTGTCACTCATGTAACAAAACATATTCAATGTCTTAAATGTCCTTGTGAATAACAAATCTTCTCATGTTTATCTCCAAGGACCAAGAGAGATAGATAATAAGTCAACAGATAGTTTTATATGGACAAAATGACTATAAATAATAGAGAGGGAGAGGGACTTTTTGGGTGTGTGTGCTGGAAAGGCCTCCCATTTTAAGCAGGAGCTGGGAGAAAGCTATAGCAGTCCCTGGTGGAAAATGGCTCTAGGTAAGCATAAAGACTCTGTTCTGGGAGATAATTATGAGACAGGAATGGGGGAGGGGGCACCTGTGACTGGGAAGAATGAGAAAGTTACTCAGAAACCCCTGGGTGGAAGGAAAACATTCTGAACTCTGTCTAGGCCTAGAAACTTTCAGGCCCTAAAGCCACAATGTCCTCTACCTCCAGGAAGGGATGACTCTCTGGGTATCTGGTTTGGACATGGGGGTAGGAGCTCTGCCTTAGTGAGGGAGGTGTTGGAAATGGTGGCTGGAAAGTCACAGCACAAAGTTCTGAAGGGGTGGCTCTTCTGAGTGGGAAGCCCTTCATGTGTGGAGATACAGCAGGGATCTCAAAAGCAGGGATGCTGGAACCAACAGGCGAAAGCACTCAAAAAGGATGGTACACGATAACAGACAGCACTGTAAGACATCTTACAGCCCCCTTCATTCAGGAGGATGTTTCTGGGGACTGTAGTCCTTTTGCGAACCCCTGTCCTGGACACTTTCAAGCACATATTTACGTTTGGGGACTTCACGCATGGTATCCCCAGGTTTATTCTCCATGTAAACTCTATCCACCAGCCTAAGAATACCTGGTGGGGCCTGGCGCTGTGTGTAGATAGGATCAGCCAGTCTAGGGCTTCCTGGGAACCTTGCAAGCAAGAGCTTGAAAGAGGCTTCCAAAGAAAGAATCAAAAGGAAGTTGGCTTCAGAGAAGACAAAGGCCCTGTTTGCAGCTGTACCTCATTAATCCAGCACTGGTTGGCTAAAAAGGAAAGCGCCATTCAGAACTATTCTGGACCCTACCCCCAGATTCGCCTTATCTTTTCTAGTTCAAAGAGTGATGTGGTGCACTGGCTGGGTGTCTGGCAAACTTCAGTCAATAACGCCTCTTTTTTTTTTGGAGGGGGAAGAGGGTCACATCCATCTGTCACAGTTTGCCAAATCACTTTCCTTAAGTTCACTCACTTTTGAAGTTAAAATATAATTAAAAGGAAACTTTAAGCCATATGGATTTGAGAAGTGATTTCCGCTATTCTACACCTGGGGAACACTGGCCCAGTAGATCAGAGCAAGTTGACTCATTAAGGAGCCCCGAGAACAAAGGGGGATTAGGGAAATTGGTCACTACCTCACTGGGCGTGGGGACATGCTGTTACTTTAGCAAGAAGTTTCACTGTCAAAGAAATTGAAAGGCCAATTTTGAGTCTCTCGACTTTATAAACTTTTACTGTAACAAAAACAAAATGGCAGGCTTGAGTTTCCCTGCCTTCCTTTTAGTTTAGCTTCAGGTCTGTCTCCTTTTTGCTCCATGTCTCTACTGTAGGTGACCTTGGGGGGCATCTGAAGGTACCCTCAGGCTTGGATTTCCCTTCCTGTCTCCAGACCCTTTGATTTCTTCACTTCCCTCACCCAGGAGCCCCTGTTCTGAGAGTTATTTGAGTGAGGGGAGCCTGCCCCACTATAGTCTCCCACCTGGCCTCTCCAGAGCCTTCACTTGGAAAACAAGCTGAAAGTCAAAACAACAGGGTAGAAAGCAGTTGTTTCTTTCCTAGATGCCAGTCTGGTGACTGTGGCCACTGGTGTTATTGCTAGACTTCTTTAGCGGAGTTTAGCAGACCTCGGGTTTAGGGACGATATCCACTACCCAACTTCAATAATTGACAGCTTCTACCAACTGGAAACCACTATCCTTGTTAATAACAAGTAATTGCTGAATTTAGATGGCAACTTAAATGACATTAAAAGACAGCTTTTGTGTAGAACATACTCTTTCAACACTTTCAGTGTGACTGCTTTAGAACAGCTAGGAACACGGAATCTGAAGGTCCATAGGGAGTTCCCACAGACTTTTTAGTGTCTCTTGGTTGGAAGTCCTACAAACTCACTTACTTTTTATTCTTGGATCTGATCTCCCTGGGAGCCACAAGGCTCCATCCTTGTTTCTCTCTAGTAACAGTTTCTATCTGTAGTTTGAACAAATGGACATGAGTGTCTGGACACCTCCCTTCCACAGAGGACTGTGGTCACAAATTGTAGTGAATGGTCACTTGTTTTGGTTCCACACACCATGTCCATGACACTGATTTCATTCTGTGCTCTCCCAGGAGCAGGTGTTTAATCTATGGGAGGTCAGCATTATTGAAGTCTGGAGCCACTGCTATAGGATCACCTGGGCTCAGAGTCATCCTGACTCTGATGAAGCTGCCCCGCTTTGGTTTCTACAGTTTGACTTGTTTCCACGGAGCGGGTACAATTCTCTCAGGCTCTTCTGAGCCACATACGTAATTTCAAATCCCCCAAATACTACTTTTTTATAGGTATAGGTTAACCATAGTTCACCTCTTCCAGACATCTTCCTTGACACTATTGGATCACTGGTTTTGTCCATATTATTCCTTTCACATTTCTTTATACTTCCACCTAGGTGGAAGACCCTTAGCCCCAAATCCAGACAAATAAACAACTTACTTGGTTCCACGGTCACTTGGGTTCCTTGTCCAAAGATGAGCTTGTCTGTTGCGCACAGCCATGGAGGCCATTCCAAAAACCTCGATGGTTCTTCCCTGCCTTCATTCTGTTGACTTCATGGCTGGAGGGTTTTCATGCTTCTACGCTTTAATGATGGAACTGGTCACTCATCCAGATGGCCCATCGTCGACTTAGCAAATGTGTATAAGGATGGGTTTGTTTACAGGAGGCGGGTGCTTGAGCAGCGTCTGGGAGCAACACACTCAAAAGCAAATGTCACCGACATAGTACATATAGAAAATTCTCTTAGCTGGGGTGTTTGCTGTTTTAAACTGTTTTCATTTCTTAGACCCACATACAACTATTTGTCTCCAAAGCCAACAGTATCAGGTCTTGGATCCATGACTACTCCAGAGTTGAGACTTTTATACTAGTGGCGCGACTTTAAGGTCACAAGGGAGAGGGGCAAGTGGTATGAGATGCTGGTTAGTTCCATGATTAGAAAACTTCAAAATTGCTACGTGTGGCTGGTGAACTGGCCACAGACGAATCAACCTCTCAAGTCCATCTTCCCAAACTGCAAAAGAAAAGAACTTGGGCAAATTTCTCCAGGGACCCGACTTCACAAATTCCGCATGGAATGGCTCATTTAGTTCTCTTAATACTGTAGACCCAACATGAAAGCATGACAAGGGTACGCCTGTGAACGAACACCTTGCGTGTTCCTCATTTACCCTGTAAGTAATGATGGAATAACATTTTTACCCGAGGAACAGGTGTGAGGCAGAGAGCAGCAGTTGGGCTCATCTCTTGTCGAGTCAACTTTCTGACATTTTCCCAGGCTTCCAAACATGGAGAACAGGCTGCCCCACTGTGTTTATATTCCATGGTACCTGACTCAGGCAGGACTCTTCCCAGAGAGATGGTTCTTCACTCTTGCAGTTTTTGTACGGGTTCCCAATGGGGTTTGTAACACTGTGCGCGTATCCCCCCAATCACGGTGTTGCAGAGCTTTACAAAAACCTTCCCTGGGCTTTGCATCATGTGTCTCTGAGAACCTCAGCCAGATGCTTTCTGCAAGTCAAACCACAGCAAGATCAAAGGAATTGGCAGTTAGTTCAGGCTCGACTTGCCTGGTGCCACTGCCTAATGCTTGCTGCCCTGCTGGCTGGATCTAGTCTGGGGTCATAGTGGACTGTTAGGAATTGTCATGTGCCCTCCTATCCACCCCCTGTGGCCAGTCTTCTCTCAGATGACTTCCCACAGAGGTGTGTGTTAGATATCTGAAAGTCTCCTGTGTATTCTGCATGCTGGGGGTTAGGCAGAAAATGTTTGGGACCAATGTAATTTTCCCTCTCTCCTGCTAAGCCCCAGAACCACCTCTGCCTGCCTTGCTTTTCACTTGAATAGTGTTACACAGTCTGCAGAAGGCTTTCATGTAAATTAAAATTTTTATCCTCTCCATTGACCTCCCAGTTGCTTAATTTGGAGCCAGTAGCCCATATGGCGCTTTGTGTGAGTCAGAAAGGACAACCTGCTGGGCTTGCAGAGGCAGCACCATGGGTTCAAGCTTGTCCGTGGAACTCTCTTTTGTGGGCTTTATAAAAGGTATTCATTTCTCCAGCTCATGCTGCCCTGTCCTGGGGCCTCACAAATGCCAGTTAGGTCTTTTTTTTGCCCAGTGCCCTTGGTCAGGGCAGAACCAGAGCTAGCAGAGACAGTAACTCTCCCTAAATACAAATAGGTACATTTTAGTTATATATATGCTGGACTTCTGGTTTTGGGCTGAAATCTTCCCTGGAGTCTCTCAAATACTGATCTTGTTTGTTCTTGATCACTGTGAGGCAACACAGTAGATTCATCTAAAGTGACTTCGTTAAGTGTTGAGTATTGATGGGAGTGCATGAGTGTTGTTCTTGTTGCTTATCAAAAGGGAGTAAGGTTGAAACAAGGTTGGAATTCACTCCGTGGAGGCCTTCCAGGAGCCCATGGCTTAATTTAGGTGTTGTTATTTTACTTTCTGATGACTCCTGCTGGCCTAGATGTGATGACCACTTACTTGCAGAGGTCCTGAGCAACCCGGCTTTAGCCTCGTCTTTGAAATGTCCAGAGGGGGATGGTCACTGTACGGAAGAACTGATCAAGCTGATTAACTAATGTGGCACTCACAGACTTTTTCCCTAGGATTAAGTGTGTAAACTTTACCAAGAAGCAGCCGTGAGAAACTTCTCTGAGTGAGACTGCTGCGGGAGAGAACAGGCCGGGACCCCCAGTGTGGATGCTGCTACAGTTCCCAGCTCTTCTTTTCCTCCTGTCACAGATGTTCACATCCGGTTTTGCTGCCACATGCTCTGCTATAGGCGTGATGTACCCCTATTCTTTGACACTGGTGTTTTGCGTGCACATGATAGTGTTTCAGTTCCAAGCAGGGACTCCTTGTTGTGGCTTTCTGCCCGTGTTCTGGAACCTTCTGTGATGTAGGAATTTATGGCTGCTTCTGTGTGGGTCCTTTTATATCATGGGGAATAGACTTGAACACAACCCGCCTCTTGAAGCCAAATCCAGCTGGCCTGCTGTAAAAGCAAGACATTAAACAACCGAAAATTTAGAGATATTTGTTACACAACATAGTTACAACAGAAATAGCTGAGTACTACAGATTGAGAGTAAAGATATACCCCCAAGCCAAGACACCACACTGAACTCAAAAGTCTCAGGAAGCTAGTCATTTGGATACTGCAGATGAGAAGCAGCTGACCCTGACCTCAGACACCAGCCTTGCAAAAAGAGGCGAGAGTCTGCGGTTCAAACACAGCTTATCTGAGAAATCAACCAACTTCCCCATTCTGCCCTTCAGAAACCCTCCTTCCTGACAGAGAGGGAGAGCAAGGAAAGAGAAATCTTGGTTGAGAGAGATGTTATGGGGCTAGCAAGAAACCTGGCACTAGGGAAATCCCCAGGAATCCACAAGGATGACCCCCAGCTAAGCCTCTAAGCAATAGTGGAGAGGGTATCTTAACCATCCTTCCCCTGCAAACAGATTGATACTACCTTAATTGTCATCATAGAACCTTCATCCAGCAACTGATGGAAGCAGATGCAGAGTTCCACAGCTAAGCACTGGACCAAGCTCCTAGAGTCCAGTCAAAGAGAAGGAGGAGTGATAATATGAGTAAAGGGGTCAAGACCATTTTTGGGATACCCACAGAAACAGCTGGCCAGAGCTAGTGGGATCTCACTGACTCCGAACTGACAGTGGGGAAACCTGCATAGGACTGAACTAGGCCCTCTGAATGTAGGTGACAGCTGTGTGACTTGGGCATTCTGTGGGGCCACTGGCAGTGGGACCAGGATTTATCCCTAGTGCTTGAACTGGCTTTTTGGAGTCCATTCTCTTTGGAGGGATACCTTGCTCAGCCGAGATATAGGGGAGAGGGCCTTGGACCTGCCTGAAAGATGCGACAGACTTCATTGACTCCCCATGGGAAGCCTTACCCTCTCTGAGGAGTGAATGAGGTGTGGGGTGGGGGGAAGGTGGGGGGAGTAAGAGGAGGGAGTGGGAACTGAGATTGGAATTTAAAAAGAGAAAACATTGTTTTAAAATAAAAAAATTATAAGAAATAGAAACCCTCCTTCTCTTTCCCTATTGTATCCTAGCTTGAAGTGTGCAATCCACATTCTCTAGAACTCTGGCCATTGTGTTTTTAGGTCTTGTGTCTTCATCATTTCACCTCTCTGTCATTATCTAAAGCTGCTCTAGCTGTCTGGGGCCATCTAAACACTCATCCTTTATTTCTTCCTACGCATTGACACCGAAACCCAAGAAGGGCTTCTAACCTGTCTGCTCCAGTGTCTTATCTTCCCTTCCTTCAGAGGTCACTCCACCCTAAAACTAAGGTTGAACGGAGGTCAGTCAGTGTGTTGTTCAGGGACCTCACCCCATCAGGGGTCAGAGTTTCTAGCTCACTGCCATGCGAGCAGGAGTTTTGTTTTAACACTATTGGCAGTAGTGGTAAGCTCACACTGTCTTATCCTCTGACCGCATCTTCAGGCCCTGAGGGGGCCATCTTTGCCGTGTGTGTGTGTGTGTGTGTGTGTGTGTAGCTCATCATGCCCTTTTTACTCATGCAGCAGTTCATGCCTTTTCACTCACCGTGATTTTCACTGGGTGAATGATATGCACTTATTTAGTCCATCCTACCAATATATAGGCAGTATTCAGATTTTGCTGTTGTGGAAAATGTATTTTTTCTTTTTTTAATATAAATTAGAAACAAGCTTGTTTTACATGTCAATCCCTGTTCCCTCTCCCTCACCTCCTCCCCTGCCCACCACAGACCCTCTATTCCATCCTCTTTCTGCTCCCCAGGAAGGGTGAGGCCTTCCATGGAGGATCTTCGAAGTCTGTCATATCATTTGGAGCAGGGCCTAGGCCCTCCCCCATGTGTCTAGGCTGAGAGAGTATCTCTCTATGTAAAATGGGCTCCCAAAGTGCATTCATATACTAGGGATAAATACTGATTCACTATCAGAGGCCCCATAGATTTCCCAGGCCTCCTAACTGACACCCATGTGCAGTGGGTCTGGATTGGTTTCCCAGCTATCAGTCTGGGGTCCATGAACTCCCCCTTGTTCAGGTCAGCTGTTTCTGTGGGTTTCTCTAGCCTGGTGTTGACCCCTTTGCTCATCACTCCTCCCTCTCTGCAACTGGATTCCAGGAGTTAGGCTCAGTGTTTAGCTGTGGGTGTCTTCTGTTTCCATGAGCTGCTGGATGAAGGCTCTAGGATGGCATATAAGGTAGTCATCAATCTCATTATTGGGAAGGGCATTTAAGGTAGCATCTTCGCTATTGCTAAGATTGTTAGTTGGTGTCATCCTTGTAGATCTCTGGACATTTCTCTAGTGCCAGATTTCTCTTTAAATCTATAATGGCTCCCCTCTATCATGGTATCTCTTTCCTTGCTCTCCTCTATTCTCCCCCATCTCCCGACTCAATCTTCCTGCTCCCTCATGTCCTCTTCTCCCCTCCTCTTTTCCCCTTCTCTTTCTCCTAACTCCCTCTCCCGTCCCCCGTGCTCCCAATTAGCTCAGGAGATCTTGCTTTGCCACTCCTAGTCCTACATTCAACACAGCCATTCCATTCCACTGCTCAGCACACAAGCAGGTAAGGACTAAGCTGCTTCCTGGGGGTGCCCTGGGACATGCCCTGTTTCAGCTCCCAGGGAACTTGATTCCTTGGAGGCTTCCTTCTGGTGACACTTCCGTCTCTGGGAGATACTTCAGAACAGGAAGGTAGCCCTGGTCCATTTTAGACCCTCAAACATGGGCAGTAGCCCCTCGATTATCAAAGACAGTCCTCTGACTTGTCCCCTAAAAGGTTTCAAACAACCTTCAAGTCAGATCTTGGGCTGACCCCAATGTGTCCCTTGACAACCCAAACCTCTGGTCTTAATTTGGCACCCTTTAACCGTTCCTTTGTAGGACCTCGACAAAACTCCTCCAGTGAAACAGGAAATCGAGGTTCCCCGTCTTCAGTCCTCCTTTAATCTCCACTCCCGTCCTTCCCTTTGTTTTTCCGCTCCTTCTGCATGTCAGATTTTACTAGGTCCAGCTTCCAAACCTACGTCTCTCAGATCCCGATTCATCAGATGAGCCCCTCCCGGTCAAACTCCACCAGGGCTGCCTCCCACCCTGCCTCTCACACACTTCTCCCCTGCTCCCATATTTCCCTTCCCACACTCTACCCACTGCCACCTTCTGACTCTCACTGTGTCCATAAACCCTGCCCTTTATGTACCTCAGGGACAGCTGCTGGCGCCTAAATTTCTTTGACACAAAAGGTCCTATTGGAGTCTGGGACTTCTTCCTTCCTGAAGGACTCTGACACTATGGGTCTAAGGATAAATATTTAGAAGGCATTTTGACAGCATGTCTGGCTAGCAAAAGGATGGTAGTAGGTTTTGAAGAGGTT